AAGGGCTAATGATAAATATCATGAAGCCTGCCATTTGAAAAATAAAAAAACGGAATCTGAAGGTCTGTTACGTTATCCTGCAGGGAAGACAGATTATATTAGAATTGCTTCGATATTTTAGCGGCAATTTTTGTCCTTAATTACATATAATGGTCACCTTTCAAATGCATTGCTGTATGTAAAAATCAATGTTGCGAATCCTGACAAAAAAATTTTTGGAGACTAGTTTGTTTGCTTATTAATTTTTAGAAATCTATACACTGGCGAATTGGTCTTAAGTTTTATTTGAGAAAAAGCATGATTTTTACTTTTTATTACTTCTACGCACCGTACTTTATCGTGTAGCGGATTCCCACCTTAATGAAGCCTTAACTCAGAAATCTCCTTTGCAAATTCTCCTATATATGATTTGACTCCCAGAACTAGCTAAACTACAGTCACTTCAAAATTTATTTGCATAAAAAGTGAACTAATTTAATTAAAATTCAATGAAAATTCTAATTAATATTTTAGCTCTTACAAAAGCTGCTAAAGTTGATATTGTAATGGGCTTGGTTAATGTGTATAGGTTTTAAAATAGTCATTTTTCTAAAATCTCATATTTTTCCCAAATACGCATAAATTTAGCCAAATTTATTATACACAATAAGGAGACTGTGATGTGCTTGAAGGAATAACTGGAAGAGCCGAATAAATCGGACTTCGAATAAGCATATGACAATCGTCCATTAAAATTTAAATAGTCTTAAAACCTCTCATTACGTCTTCTTAATTTAGGCACTCGAAAAGATAGCTGGTCAAATAACCAAAAAGTCTTGTTAAGGATTATTCGTTACAAAGTCTGTAAAAAAGTGCTTAAAAATAATCTGCGGCAACCATAACGCTATCAGCTCATTGGATCTATGTATATTTCGCACTTGGTATTGGGATTGGTGTCACAATGTTATAAGAGGCTCAAAAAATAACTTTAGTGGGCCATTTGTGTTTAGTTGAAAATAAATTAAAGCTGATTAGGACATTTCTAAACTGCTTTCGAAATATGATTAGGCTAACTTACCCAGTCTTTATGACCTCGGTCCACTTTAATTTAATTACGATGTCAAGAAGTTTCCATGCTTTTAAGCAACCTCTAAATAAATGCTAGTGCTATAAAAAAGACTTTCGGCTTCCGTAATATTTATTTGGCTGTACAATTGGTTTTTGCCGATATGGTTTTTGTGACCAAAAGATTCGATGTGAATACTATTTTTTATTTATGGTGAAAAGATGATTACAAGCTGTCCCTTGGCTCCTTTAATCTAGTTCAAATATAAACTATATTCATAGATAAATAAATGTTCTTAAACTCATTTAAATATAATAATATAAACCAATAACATTTTTCTTATCAAGTATATAAATAAAATTCAATAAATATTTAGTATAGTACTACAGTTTTTGGTAATTGTAGCGAATTGCTACTAAAATAAATCTCGACATGGATGAGTTCACGAAAATAGTAAAACTTCATACGTGGGTTAGGTGAAGTAGACTTATTGTCCTACTATTGTTTCCATGCTTTACTTTGAGGTCTTATTTATTAAAAGATCAGTTTTAGCCTCACACCTTACTAAGCACTTACAACCAATTTCATCATTTGTCTTGACTTATTTATAATATCGTAAATTCCCAATATCGCCCAGTTTTTAACAAGATTTACAAATTCTAGGATACATATAGAGCAAATCAAGGCAATTTTGACATGAAAGTATTAATGAATATTATAAAAATATAAAAAAATAGGGAACAATTGTAGAAATGTTTTATTATTAATTTAAAAAAATATAATATAGAAATTAATTAAGTATTTATAAACAATTTCAATAGTTAATCTGTCCACATTTGTAGGAAATGTAAATATCTTCTTTTGTTTAGTTATATTTCGTTAAAATAAATTACCAATCAGCAGTATGCACATTTTTTGACGTGCATGTGCTAGCTTGAGCATGTCTGCCCCATCGTCTATTTTCCGACCTTTCAGAGGTCTTGGCCTGGTATCTTCTGATGTTCCGTTTGCTGTTAAATATAAACCACATTCAAATGAATATAATATTTGTGTCCCTGTTGGAGAAAGGTTTAACGTTTATCAAGTCAGTTTAATAATCATACATGCCTGCAGTTCTACAATTAAGTTACTAATAGTTATTTGTGTTTGCAGTTACCAAACCTCCGTTTCGTTGGATTGAGCGACTGCCTACCGACTGATATTACGTCCTTTACATCTGATCGTTCGTTTATCTATGCATCATCAGGAAATATCATTTACGCATTTCGTGGGCTTCGACATATTCACTTCAAACTTGAAGGTCATCAATCTCCAGTTGTAAAAATTCTTGCCTTTAATAACCAGTATCTCGCTTCATATGATGAATCTGGTGTTTTGATAATCTGGGATCTTAAAGCCAGAGGTAGCTTGACAATTTATTTTAACTTTACAAATTAAAATAGAAAGTATTGCCGAGCATACTTTTGACGAAAATACTTTCATCATATCTGCAATTTGTCATCCTACTGGTTATGGGGATAAATTGCTCCTCGGAAGCGCTCAAGGGCCTCTACAGCTGTGGAAGTCTCTATCAAAAAAACCTATTTACTGGTTCAAAGGCTTTGACTCACCAGTAACCTGTCTTGTACAGGCTCCTTCTCCCGATGTTTGTGCTATTGGCTTAGGGAATGGACAAATCGTTTTGCATAATCTTCGATATGACACACCACTTATCAGTGTTTCCCAGGAAGGAGGAGCCATTAAGGCCATCGAGTTCCGAACCGGTGAGGTTTTTTTAATCATAATTGGCTTTATCGCTATTCATATTTACTGTTGAATTGAAATATTCGCTTTACATGCATTAAGTTTTACAGATTGTATGTACGTAGTTTAAATGCATTTGACAAATTTGTCTTTTGTTTACTCAGGCCCCTTGACATCTCTCCATGTTAGTTTTGTATATCTAGGCTCTTCCATGGTGTTTTGATGCTATCGTGTCAAGTTATTGTACATGCAGAAAGCGAGAGGAAGGTATTTTATCTATCAATGTTTGCACTCAAGGTGCCATTAACGTTTAAAATCGTTTGCGCTATCTATCAAACTGGAACAAACGGCATGGATACGCGTGTAGATAAAGCTTTTGAGAAGGTGCCTTTGTTTGTCGGATGGAGCCTAATGTATCACTTGTCATTGTTATAATGAGCTCTTTGTAGACAACATCAAGGTGTTTGAATTTATCTTTTAACCAGACAGAGGGAGAAACGGATTACTATTAGTTCGTTTTCTATCAGATGGTTTAGTGAAAACAAAGTGGCAAAATTCAATCTTCTACCTTAATGTGACATGAACATTCATAGCCCAGCTTATATTCAATTTAATTGCCGCAGATTATGTAGGTCATTCGATTAATTATTTCATCTATCAATGTCAACAAATCAGTTGAGCTAATTTGTATGATTCGGCTCTATTTTTTCTGCTTACATAAAAATAATTAATTATATGTGCTTTGCTCTTCTAGACACAATGGGTTTGGGCGCCTCAGAACCACTTCGTGCAGCAGGTATTAACAACGCCAATGGTGACGACGAATCCATCTACCTCCTTGCTGGTGCACAATCTGGCCAACTCGCCATTTGGGAATTAGAGAGCGCTGGAACTTGCCGAGCTGTCAACCAAATTGATGAATTCCATTTAGATCGTATCACCAGCATGTTCTGCATTCCCTCAGGTGAATCAGCTGGTGCCTTGGTTTCAAGTGGAGCGGACAACACAATTAAGGCGAGTTTTTAACAGTCTTTGGTACTTACCATGAGTCGATTGAATCGTGGATATCTACTGTTCATATTTGAGTACCATTTCTCTAGCATTGATGGTTCTTAAAGTACGCATTTTTAACAAATTTAGGTTTCATTCTTCGACCGACCTGACGGTTCTCCTAGAACCTGTCATATCAAGAGTGGACATTTCCTACCACCAAATAAAATCGCATTTTGGACTGGGGGTTCAGCAGGTGGTAGTCTACTGGTTTCTGGTGGTCCCGATTCACAACTAAGGTATGCACTCACTAACTTCTTAATTCTCCTGACTACACGGTTTTTGTTAAACTTTTGTCTACTATAATTGTAGAATCTTTTCTACATTTAACGAACGCTACGATCGTAGTTTGGGTCGTGCCTACTCTCCTCACATGCCATGTTCAAAGAAATTCATGAATGCTCTTCAGAAATTGCCTTTCCTTTTACCTGGCCCCAGTGCTATTTCACTTTCTCCAGGACGTGCCCATGATTGGGATTCAATAGCTGTAGCGCATTGCAACAGAAGGGAAGTCTCTACGTGGAATTTTGTGAAAGCTGCGCGTGGAAAGCACTGGTTGGATCCAAAACGATTCCATGGAAGAGGAGGTGATGCTTTGAGAGTTCATAAGCATACAGTTGCCACGGTAAGTAAATATTTCAAAAGGCCGTGTTATTTTAATTAATAAGCTGCAAGCTGATAGTGGTGACATAAAGGGCTTTATATATAGATGCTTCCATTCAGATTACTTTCGTAGTGTAGTTTAACTTGTAGTCTCATCTTTGATATCAGGCTTAAAGCGCTTTAACAAATTATGCATAATGTAAGAGTTTGTCTGTACCTGCATGCCTGTGACTTTTAATCGACAGGGTTGAATGAACAATTGTTACATCATGTTAAAATCGTTTCAATTCCTTTAATTGAGCAGGTTTCTGTCATCAATTATTGTTATTTTTTCGTATAGTGCGTGTTCGTTACAAGATGTGGTCATTGGGTTGTGATTGGCTATTCTTCCGGAGATGTAGTCAAATTCAACATTCAATCCGCTATCGAATATGGAGCGTTTGGTGGTGATGGAACTGGTAAGTCGCGTCTTTGGGTACTTTCTTGTTTCTAAGTACTGTACGGTTAAATTCATCTCTGGTTCGAATAGCTCACGATTCAAGAGTCGTTGGAGTCCACGTCTCGAGTGTCAATCGCCTGGCGATTACAGTTGGTGCTACTGAGGTGAAATTCTGGACATTTTATGATTGTAAGCTCATTGATGACAGTCTTACTTTGGATGCACCACCAGTGTTTTCAAAGTTCCATGATGAAAGGTAGGTATTTGTCGCTTAAAGTTCTTTCATGGTCTTAATATTGCCCTTAATATTAACTTTCTAATTATTATTATTTAAGCGACGCTCTTGTTCTCGCTCTTACAACTGGCGAGATTATTTTAATAAATACTCTCAGTCGTCGTATCATTCGTCGTTTCCTCAATCCAGGTTCCCATCCTTGTACAGATTTAGTGAGTGTCTACCTAATTTCTCCTGTAAGTAGTATATGAATGTGCATTGATTTGGGGCTTTATCATTTACAGACTATTTCTTCTGATGGGACTCTTATGGTTACCGCCCATCGAGGTGATTCCCTCATTAAAACCTGGGATATTGTTGATTGCAAGTAGGTTAATTTTGCTCAACTACTTATTTGACTATGAGTAGCATTAGATAATCAAATCTATTTTATAGGCTTTTGGATTGCTTCCGTGTCAGGCAGCCAGCTACGAGTGTAGCTTTCTCACCAGCGGATGACCTGCTAGCAACAACTCATGTGGCCTCACTGGGTGTCTATTTGTGGGACAATCGAGTCACTTACTGCCGCCTACATCTTAAGCCCCTCCCTGATGATTATGCTCCGCCTACTGATTGCGAAAGTTCTGTGGATTTGCCAAAATTGGGTCTATTGGCGAAAGCTGATATGGACGACGAGGAACAGATGGATGTCGATTCTCATCTAGATGATAATGAAGATGAACAGTGAGTTTACTTTTCCTCACTACTTATTTTATAATTCAGTAACTACCACTTTCTAATCAGCTATATACTTTATGAAATTTCAACCTTTTCATATTCGAGAGTATGGTTTAGTACTTTTTTTCATTTCCAATGGTCCTCAATCTATCGGATCTTTCTGAATTATTTGTTTGCTTTGCTATTCCTTGGTAAATTTCTACTAGGTGTTGAGTTGTAATTGACTATGAACTAAGAATCCCCAAAATCCACGGGTCTCATCGCTAATACGTTCCGAAACTTTGGCAAAGGGTTCATTTTTTAGGCCAAGATTTTATAATCACCTCCCTGTTATTTAAACATTGTCTTAGATTGCTACCCTGATGCACAACGATTCTTCCATAGCCTGATTTGATTCGCTAAGTCGTAATTCATGATTTCGTCTAATATGTCAATAGAGCTTTTAGTGCTAGACGCTTTAAAGTCCGTCATCATTATTCCGATTCTCAATGCGTAGTTTGAGTGTACAAAATCAATACTCATTGTTCACCAACCATCCTTGTTAATTCTGGTCAGCATTAGAGGTGGTAATATTTCGATTTCTTATTATTGCGGATAAATGACCACACCAATTCTTCACTAAACCAGTCTCCATTGTATTTTTTAGACCCTCTGTATACACATCTCCAATCCAACTTCAAGATAAATTGGCAACTCTCTCTGGTCTGCCCAACACTTTCTTCTCAGCCTTTCTCCAGCTAGATGCCATCAAGAAGCGAAATGCTGAGGCAATGAAGGTGGTCGATGACATGGGTCCTCCACAACTTCCCTTCTTCCTTCCAGCCATTGAAACTACCTCGGGAATGGCTTGGCTGGATGAAGAAGAGGAGGAAAGTAAGGATAGGAATGGTACTAGACTCCTAGAAGACGGATCTAGTAATCACAAGGAGATGGGTGATGGGGCCCCCGCAGCGAAGCGTCTTAAAAAGGGCAAGAAGAAGGTAACGGTGGAGGAACTGGTTCTTGATCCTGGAAGCACTATCTTAAATTCGGTGATTGCCGCGGATGGTTCCATTGATGCATCAAATAACGAAGCTTGTAAGTGTTGTCTGTTTACATTGTTTTCGAATGCTTCTTTTAGTCAATGAATGAGCAAAGTAATCAAGGATTGGGAATGTGAGAACACATGTTTTTGATATACGTTAGGTGATTATTTGGAGTTGTCCAAATTGATTTTCCCATTTTCTAATGAGTTATTTATTTGACGTATCCTTTATTTAGTCGTCAGATGATCGGCCTACTTCTTGTATATTTCGATCGAGTTGAGTTTATAATTGTAAGGTCTAAAAGGATGTAACATTCTTCATTGATATCAGAGGAACTAAAATTGGGTCTATTAGACTAAAAAGGAAATTAGGTTAAGAGTTAATGCGTAGTAGGCTGAAGAGCTGGGACAAAAGGTGGGCCTGAAGGCGAAGTTTAGTTAACTGATTTGATATAATTTTTATTACACAATTCCGTAAATAGATTAAGTGGCAAATTGGATCACCATGTGCTTTCTTTATTTCATTTTTTCATCGAATCGGTAAGTAATAAAGATGACAATGTTATTTGAGTCATCCTGAGTTTTCCCCCAGCGGAATTATGAGTTAAGTTGTTCGATTTCGAGGTTATTTTCAGAGTCTAAAAATTAGGCATTTATTTACCGAATGTTGAGCAAAAAGGTGGTTACTTAACTATTTCCGTCTTAATTGGGAACGGCTTTAGATGAATAGGTTTTGTGATATTCATCTACAGGTGATGCACTGATGTCCCGTCTACGACGACTAACACCTTCAGCTTTGGATGCAGAAATTCGTCTCTTAGCACCGACAAGAGATGAGCTGCAAGAAGCATTCAATGCAGTGAAAACTGACAGTTCGGGCTTTGCTCTATCTGCAAACCCCTACTCTCGTCTCTCTTCTTTCCTCTGCCTCCTTCTCAACGCATTCCGTCGAAACCTCGATGTGGACTTCGCCACTGCTTGTTTGGATTGTCTTCTGCGTTTTCATGGAGATTTGATCGCCAGACCGCCAAAGGCACCCACAGTGAGTCGAGCCGATCATCAGTCATCAGACGACAACGAAGGAGTGGATATTTTAGACGTCGTAGCGACAGTTGAAGGTTCTCGTGCTGGAACTTTTAACGATGCTCTAGATGCTGCCAGACCATTGGAATTGGTGGAGGCGGTTTTGGAAGCGAAACGTGAATCGCACAATGTTCTTAATATGCAAATTTCTAGGTCGATTGCTCTGGTGGATTTTGTGAGAAATGCGACCAATACGCTACAAATGTAGGCACCATTTTTGATTAGATGTATCTATTGTATACAAATATTCTTCCTCTCTCCACTTCATTGTAATTTACAGAGATGTATAGATGAGTAAAAAATGTTTAAAACGGCACATTTCTTGTTATATTTTACAATTTCATGAGGCTATTTAAAAGAAATTAATGCGGGGGACCTCATCCAATCGGTTTATAGAACAGTGGAAATAATGGATTTGGAAATTGGGAATGGAAGAACCAGGACTGCTGCCTCCCTCTTGTTCAACCAATAAGTGGACGCTTTCTTGGTTGTTTTCATGTTCTGTTGTTGCGTGATTTCGTGATTTGCTCGGAGCCGTTTTCTTTACTATTTGATTAAGATATTACTGAAAATAAATCAGTAACACAAATTTAGCAAACAGAGAGGAGGAACATCAAAGTGAGAAAAGTTCGAGAGGGAGAACAAAAGAGTGGTTCACAGATGTATAAGGGGCAGACAGACACAAAGGTAGAGAAGCGGTGGGATGAGTACTGTGGAAGTTATGGAATATGACATACAGTTGGGCCATGGTAGTTAGAAGTTAACTGCTGGTTTATAGACCTTTTTGCCGTAGGAGTATACGTTGCCCTGTTTATGGAAAGTTATAGATTTGCTCAAGAGACGTATTTTCACTTACGTTTTCTTTGGGAGAACCGATCTTTACACATTTCCCGAATTCAATCCGATTCATTTGGTAGCGTGGAGAAACGTGTGGCTTTTCCTCAAAGTATAGATTGGGTTCGTGTAAAACTATTCAGTCGAAATAATTGACCAAAACTAGTTTTCAAACTTAAGATTAAGTTTACATTCAAGTGCAGTAATTAAAATGAACTGGTTCCTCATTCGGACCAACGTCGTGGCATTGGTCCAAAGTTTACCTCTGTGACCCTAAAGACAGTTACAAAATGGTTGTCCTTTACATTAATTGTAATATAATATGCCACCTTTGGAAAGCAACCACCTGACTTCAAATATCGGTACAGGTCGACGTTGTAACAATGGGTAATCAGTTCACTGACAGATTATGAAGGAAATGTCTATTTATTTACAAAATGGGTTATATATTGAAAAATGAATTTCAATGAAACCTTGTGTACACATGCGTACCAACCACTGTGAAATACCTTCAATGGGGTGGGGGGGGGGGGGNGGGAGACAGACTTACTCCCAAGTGGTGCATCCTGGGCAACGTGTACTCATACGGCAAAAAAGCATAAAAACTGGTATTTGACTTCTCACTTCAAGCTACCATCACTCCACTGTATGTCATATTCCACCACTTCCACAGTACTCACCTCACATATTTTTCTACCTTTGTGTCTGCCTCTTTTACATTTTCGAAACACTCTTCTGTTCTTCCCCCCCCCCCTCTCGACTTGTTTTCATTTTGATGTTCCTCCTCCCCTCTGTGAAGCCTGAAGTCAACTTAAGGACTAATGGATAACTATCAAAATGCCTGCCATTTGATATAACTACCCTCAATCTCACCGGGGTTGACAGGTCGTATGGTCTTGACCTCTAACAAAGTAGGTCATGATCCTATCTTAGGTACAGATGAGAAAAGCTGTCAGTGTCCCATCAGATATTTCCACAAGTTTGGAATATGGTGACCTCAAACAGTCCTGTGCTTTTGTTAATAAAATTGGACTTTGATTATGCTCTGGAGTATAAAACAGCTTTTAATGTAGCTATTTACTAAATGGAAAGTTCTAATTAAAAGTTTCAAACTTTACGGCCGGTATTCGTTTCAACCAAAAGGGGTGTGTCTAGCCACCATTTTCACCTTACTTCAAATGTTTTAGAAGGCAAGTTGCCTCGTAAGATATTTCTCAGCAGATTGTTGTAATTTATGCATTGATATTGAAATTTAGCAAGTGAAGAAAGTGCTTGTTTTTCCAGTACAAAAAAATTATAGCCGCGCAAAACAATTTTCAAAGTGTCATCGCATAGTGGAAAAGGCAATGTCGGTTAGATAAGGGCAACCCCAACCAGTTAAAGACAATATCCTATTTATAGATCCTCAAACCAAAATTCCATGTGCGTATTTCAACAATTATTGTGGAGATTTGAGAAGGACTAGTCTTCTTACCCTATTTCAATCGAAGCAATGAATATTCCTTCTTTCTCCTCGTTCAGTTCTTTTCAGTTTTCTAGTTATCACCCACCCTCTTACCCAACGCCCTCTTTGTGTATTGAAGGGAGATGACTGAAGTTTTATCTACACTCCACATTACATTCAAAACGTGCATTATAATCACTCTTCCTGTTATTCAGATACCAGAATCATCGCTTTTAAAGCTAATCTATTTATTGATTATCACACATTTACAATTCTGTCATCTTGGCTTCCTCCCTACGAATCTCCTCGATGAAACCTGGTTCTAATTCAATAATCTTCTCGGGAATATCAAGCTGTCTTGCCATGCTTATTTCAAAAATTCGTCGAAGGACCACACGAGTGAGCGTCACGTCTGTACGGGGGTTTTCGTTGACAAACTTCCTTATTGCCACCTTTTCCACTTCAAATGAATACTTTGGTAGACCCTTCGGATAATCTTGCTGCAATTAATTAGGTTTAATTTTGGACAAATGAACTTACGGGAATTTTAACTATGAAATATAGTTCTGCAAGGTGTTTTTCTTTAAATAGCAAATTGTTTCCCACGCGATCTACATAAGATAAGAGGTTATTTCTACGATCGGATAGAGCGTCTTTGATTTTCGACAATTCCTCGTCTATTTCCACTTGGTGCTTTGAAGCAGACATTTTGTAATCAACTCTTTTGATAAGTGAAATGAGAAACTTAATAATTCCGAATTTCATATACTAATGAGTACATGAGTTTTATTCACTGATAAGTATTTGTAGAGCACTTTCAATTAGTTTTGAGTTGTTATTCACATATATGTCTGATTTGTTATTATTTGATATTTAGCAACTGATACTTTGAATTGATCATTTAAGTTGATACTTTGGTATATGGTTCTTCGGTCTGCTAAATCTGGGATCTTATATTGTTGCTATATTTGAGTGAGAAAAAATGAAGTAATCTTCTTGCTTAGTGTGAGTAATTGATATGAAGTTGAAACAACGTCAAGCCTTGCACAGAGAGTACATTGTCAATTCTACGAAATCGCAATGTTTTTTTCACGCTATCATCAGGCAGGTCTGATAGATTACGCTATCATATTGATGGCAAATCACTCTCACGGTTTTATTCAACATTCTCCAGATATTAGTAGTTCCATACGGTAGTATAAATTGTTTCTCAATTGTGCAAATATTTTTTTTCTCAAATGGCAGGCGTTATGGTGGGTATCATTAGTCCTTTAGTTGACTTCGGGCTTCACAGAAATGAAGATAAACATCCAAGTGATAAAAAGTCGAGAGGGGGACAGAATAATGAGGTGAATACTGTGGAATTATTCGAATACGACATACAGTGGGGGTGATGGTAGTTTGAAGTCAGAAGTCAACTGCCGATAAATAGACTTTTTGCAAGTCAGAAGTCAACTGCCGATCAATAGACTTTTTTGTCTTTGAAGCTAGTAGTCGAATTTGACATACAGTGGGGTGATTGTAGTTTGAAGTCATGTCAAATGCCGGTTAATAGACTTTTTTGCCGTATGAGAATGTAGGACATATAGGGGGGTCATGGTAGTTTGAAGTGAGAAGAAAACTGCCGGTTAATAGACTTTTTTGCCGTATGCGGAGAAGTCAACTACCAGTTAATAGACTTTGCCGTTGAAGTCAGAAGTCAACTGCCGGTTAATAGAATTTTTTTGCCGATAGTTTGAAGTCAACTGCCGGTTTATAGACTTCGAATATGACATAGAGAAGTCAACTGCCAGTTAATAGATCATGGTAATTGAAGTCAGAAGTCAACTGCCGATTAATAGACTTGGGGTCATGATAGTTTGAACTCAGAAGTCAACTGCCAGTTAATAGACTTACTCATGGTAGTTTGAAGTCAACTGCCAGGTAATAGACTTTAGTTTGAAGTGAGAAGTCAACTGCCGATTGATAGACTTTTATTTGAAGTCAGAAGTCAACTGCCAGTTAATAGACCTTTTCAGTCAGAAGTCAACTGCCGGTTTATAGACTTTTTTGCCGTTTGAGTAGTCAGAAGTCAACTGCCGGTTAATAGACTTTTTTGTGAAGTGAGAAGTCAACTGCCAGTTAATAGACCTTTTTGCGTTGAAGTCAGAAGTCAACTGCCGGTTAATAGAATTTTTTTGCCGATAGTTTGAAGTCAACTGCCGGTTTATAGACTTCGAATATGACATAGAGAAGTCAACTGCCAGTTAATAGATCTGGTCATGGTAGTTTGAAGTCAGAAGTCAACTGCCGGTTTTGGGGTGATGGCAATTTGAAGTCAGAAGTCAACTGCCAGTTTAAGACTTTTTTGCCGTATGAGTATACGTTGCCCAGGGTGCGCCACGTGGAGGTAAGTCTATAGCACACCCCAAATATTTGTACATGTCTGGTATTTGAGTCAAACACGTTTGTCAATTCTCGCCTCCTTTTGATTTATTTTACGCTAATAAGGCCATTGGATTATTACTAACCAATGGTGACTAGTATAGGTAAGCTATCGATTTCCAATCATCCTCTCTTTTCTACTTGATGTTGGTCCTTCTCAATTGCCTTTCTTCTGGCTTCGGGGAAACCTATTAAAGCCCCCTCCCCAGCCGTGCCCTTTAGGGTGTCATCAAACATGCAAAGAGACAATGCTAAACCAAAATTATTTGAAGTATTCAAGTATTTTTCCAATTGAGATTAATGATTGGAGTAGGGGTGTGCATGGAGCACAGATTGAGGGGCTGAAGTCTGTAAGAGAATGGAGAACGTCGGCTAGCTTCCTCGCGCAGGCTTCTGAAATGAGATTTTGATCGTTCAGGTCTTTCTATCCCCCTTGTAGGCTATCATCTCTGATTTTGGCTGTTCTTCTATCATAGTCATTGGTTTCCTCTGAAAGAGATGAAGTAATTAATCTTGGTGAATTTGTGTTCAGTTTCGATTTCGTCGCCATTGATGCAATTTTCGATGGCAATGCACCCACCTTTCTAACTCATAACCTCTATTAAACTTAGTAGGTTGTAAGTCTTATCAAGGAGTAAAGCAAAGCACTTTTGGCAGACCGCTGTTGTATTCTCAACTTTACCTTTTATGACAGTTGGAAGAACGCACGACCGGTTATGAATTTGCGTTAAGTATATGCAGCTTACGGAGTCCTTCTCACTTGAAATTTCGATTTCTCTTCCACATTAAAGCTAAGAAATATCACATTGTATCATTTACCTTCTCAACCATAGGCATTAATGAGCATTTATATTTGGCATGACATTCAATAAATCTTCAACTCCCCATTCTCTCTTTCTTTCTCTCTCAATTCGACTAAATCTTACTTGCGAATCATAATCACTTTGGTAAGTGGTGTGCTGCTATGTTTATCACGAGCATGTGCATCTGCCCCATGAGAAACTAGAAGCGGATGGGGAGCTTGATCTTGCTGATGTATGGGTTCAAGTATTAGGGGATTTCCTGCTTTAATTTACATATTCACTTTGATTCCATGCTAAAGCAATAAATGTTACTTATACAAAATGGCAGGCGTCTTGATGGTTATCATTAGCCCTTTAGTTGACTTCAGGCTTCACAGAGGGGAAGGAGCATCAAATTGAAAAAATTCGAGAGGGGGGGGGGGGGGGAAGAGAAGAGTGTTTCAAAGATGTAAGAGACAAACTCAAAGGTAGAAAGAAGGTGGGGTGAGTACTGCGGAAATATTCGAATATGGCATAGAGTGAGGTGATGGTAGTTTGAAGTGGGCAGTCAACTGCCAGTCAATAGACTTTTTCGCCGTAGGAGTATACGTTGCCCAGGGTGCACCACGTGGAGGTAAGTCTATCGCACACCCCAAAGCAACAAATGTCACTGCACCAACTCCCCATTAATGATGACAGATTGAAAAGCTTGATTGATTTCTGCTGATTGATTGATTGATTTTCGGATGCTCTGATAAGGGTAAACATTTCTTAATGTCAGTAAAGGAATAAAGACCTTAAAAATAACCTTTTTACACGTTAATGTAAGTTCCTATTTTCAGTATTTATTAGCTACATATCTCGTTGGTACACCGTGCTCAAGAAAATAGTGCTCAACTCCTAAGTATCCATTGTTACCGGCATACATATTCTTATTGTCAAACTTCTAGCCATGAGAAATTCCACACCTTCCAAAGACCCATCGGCAGCGTAAGAGTGTATGTCGTTATCTATGTCAGAATAAGGAGGCATTTATGAATGTTCCTTTTTCCAGAAGAACCTCCATCATTCTAACATTTGGTAGACTTGCTGCCATTAACGACGGAACAGAGTTATTGCCACCGATCGAGGCATTCACGTTGACCTATTAATAGAGTAAAATTGACAAAATGATGGAATGCATGTTTTTTAAGCAGAGACAATAATTTACCAATTAAATTGAGGTTATAGAATGGATTTTAACAATAAACACCTACTAGAAAGTGCGGTCAAACCCACTGTTAATAGGTGCTGGTCAAGTAACCAGAAATTTAATAAGGCTACTTTGGAAGTAATTCAGTTATCAATAAAATTAAGTTTGTGAAGGTCGTGATTGGTCTGGGGAGACGGTGTAGATTACTGATCTCCTTAACCACATTATGTAGAATATTTTTAATAAACCAATGGACCAATTTATGAGTGTAATTTGATTTCACTCAATTACGGAGCAAATGTGATATGTAGATGACACGGAATCGATATTCCGCAATCCTCTAACAGCAATACATCGTTTCACTATAATATGTGCTTTGGCAACTATGCGAATAAAATAATGAAGTACACATTTAGTAAAACAGGGTCTGCACATACAAACAAACTTTAGTAACAAACTTTAAGGAAAATTTGCTCCTTTTCTTCCTCTACATATTGCTATCCTGGCAAAAGGTACAATAGTTTTACCTTAGGTGACATATGCTCATATGACAAAAAAGTCTATAAACCGACAGTTGACTTCTCAATTCAAATTAGCATGACCTCATTATGTCATAGTCAAGTCCTTCCACAGTGCTCACCCCACTTTGCATGTGTCTCTTTTACATCTGTGAACCATTCTTCTGTTCCCCCACCTTTGAATTGTTGTAACTTTGATGTTCCTCCCCTCTGTGAAGCCCGAAGTCAACTAAATTGTTAATGGTAACCTTCATAAAGCCTGCCATTTGATAATAATAATACTATCCTGACAACCACACACCTTCTCCTTCTTCTTCTTCTTCTTCAATTCTCATTAACGATACAAGCACACCATCCATTAATTACAAACAGACATTGTTTGATTACTAACCAAGTCTTTATTTAGCGGATCAAGAGGATTTAAAATTTCAACTGACATAGGAGGTTAGGAGCTAGAAAGCCTTAAATTTACGAAAAGATGCAAAAAAATTTCTTTCTGGAAATTTTAGGTTATTTCGTTGGGGTTAGCATGTGATTGTGTCGGATTTACAAAAATCTTCAAAAGACTTGAAAAATTACCATTTCCTTTCAAACCCATATATTGCAAATAACACAGGAAAAAGCCGACTTTTACTTTTACTCATCTTTGCTATGCAGCTTTAGTCCATGTGATACCGAAAAGATTTTCTTTCAACTTACACAAGTCAAAATATATAAAACCCTTTGCCGCCAATGGCTGCTGCTATGCTGTAGAACATTTGCCTACATTCTAAATTAGCCATGAATTATTCA